TGCGTGTGTGTCTCTGTCACATGTAGCAGCTGGTGGCTTTTTGTCGATACGATCAATATGCCTTCAGATTTGTTAGCACAAACACACATCATTCACATGTGTATTGAATGATGTGTCTGTGTGTGTGTGTGTGTCGATTCAAAAACACTTAAAGAGATGCAAACCCCCTGTGAAAATATGCATGACTAAACAGAGGCACAATCCTACATAATGTTTCATTATCAATCACATACGTATTTAAATATATTTGTTAATAAACTAAAATAAAAATGAGAAGCAAAAGGAAAATAAAACCAGCAAACAGCTTCACCAACAGAACCACACACACACACACACACACACACACACACACTCAGCTCAGTAAAAAGTGCAGCGGTCAGTTTTGTTCTGCCGGTGACTCAGCAGAATTATGTAAGGACCCGAGTTATATAATGAAATGCCGAGTCACACATGACCTGTGCTGCCTTCAGGGCCCCGGATACAATCTGACATCTGCAACTGTAGTTAGTAAATCCAGATTCATAATGACACCAACGATACACAGATCCTGTCAGAGCCTCGTCACTTAGCATCGCCAGCTTTATCAACCTTTACCCCAAAGAAACAGTGTTAAGCTTTGAAATGAACTGTTATTGAGGAGAGAAACTAACTATTCAGATCAAAATTCAGACTTTTTTGAAAATCTCAACATTTTGAAAATCTCTAAATTCTGACTTTTTTTCTAAAAATCTCTAAATTAGGGCCGGGACTCGATTAAAAAAATTAATCTAATTAATTAGAGGCTTTGTAATTAATTAATCGAAATTAATCGCATTTTTAATCGCATATAAATATTTGACCTAAGAACAGTGAGAAGCAATTTTTTTTCACATGGATTTTAGTATACCATTAGGCGCATTCACACCGCAGTACTTTTCCCACAAAGGTTCATGTGAACTCTTTGAACCTGGGGGTGGATTAGGCAAATGAAGCCGCTGACGTCACTTCTTCTTCTTCTGCTTTGGGTTTACTGGCAGGCCGCAAACCACTTCACGGCGTATACTGCCGCCGGAAGTCCCCGGAGTTGGGGACTGGCTTCAGTAGAAGCTGCTGGGAGTCCCAGCAGCTTCTACTGAAGCCTTCCGAGTAAATCGCCAGAACGCCGACACCTCCTCATCTCCACCGCTCCCATGTTTTATTTTGTGTTGCCATAAGTTAGTCTCTCTGCGTTTCTGCGCTGGGCTAATGCTAATAATGCTAATGCGAGGATAATAAAATGGCGGCTTCACAAAACTTTTTGGGAGTTTTACGGGGCGTGGTCGCCCAGCCAATCAGACATATAGCTCTTTTCTCACAAGAGAGCCGTACGAAAGTCCCTGCTCTCTAGCAGCTCTCTGCTCTCTAGAAGGGACTTTCGTGGGGGTAAAAAGGTTCTCATGAACTAATTTTAGTACCGGCTCTTTTTGGTGTGAACGCGATAAAAGAGGCTAACGTCCACGCTAGCTTCCACGCTAGCTGCTATATGTTTTGCATTGAGGTGATACTTGAGGCTTGATGTGCTGCGGTGATATGCGAATTCCTTTTTGCATAATTTGCACACAACCGTGCTCTTATCGACGCTTCCATCCGTCCGTTTTTTAAAACAACATTTGCCACTGTTGTTCACTGTGGTTTGTTGTTGTCTGAAGTCATGAACGTTAGTTGGTGCTCCAGTATAATCGGTACGCCTGAAACTCATCCAGTGAGAAACGTTCCGCGGTGCAAAAATAAGTGCGATTAAAATGCGTTAATTTTTTTAACGCGTTAATTTTTGTGTAATTAATTAATCTTAATTAACGCGTTAAAGTCCCGGCCCTACTCTAAATTCTAACTTTTTCTAAAAATCTCTAAATTCTGACTTTTTTTCTAAAAATCTCTAAATTCTAACTTTTTCTAAAAATCTCTAAATTCTGACTTTTTTTCTGAAAATCTCTAAATTCTAACTTTTTCTAAAAATCTCATAATTCTGACTTTTTCTAAAATTCTCATAATTCTGACTTTTTCTAAAAACTCTAAATTCTGACTTTCTAAAAATCTCTAAATTCTAACTTTTTCTGAAAATCTCTAAATTCTAACTTTTTCCAAAAATCTCTAAATTCTGACTTTTTCTGAAAATCTCTAAATTCTGACTTTTTCTGAAAATCTCTAAATTCTGACTTTTTCTGAAATTCTCATAATTCTGACTTTTTCTAAAATTCTCATAATTCTGACTTTTTCTAAAAACTCTAAATTCTGACTTTTTCTAAAAATCTCTAAATTCTAACTTTTTCTGAAAATCTCTAAATTCTGACTTTTTCTAAAAATCTCTAAATTCTAACTTTTTCTAAAAATCTCTAAATTCTAACTTTTTCTGAAAATCTCTAAATTCTAACTTTTTCTGAAAATCTCTAAATTCTAACTTTTTCCAAAAATCTCTAAATTCTGACTTTTTCTGAAAATCTCTAAATTCTGACTTTTTCTGAAAATCTCTAAATTCTGACTTTTTCTGAAATTCTCATAATTCTGACTTTTTCTAAAAATCTCTAAATTCTAACTTTTTCTAAAAATCTCTAAATTCTAACTTTTTCTGAAAATCTCTAAATTCTGACTTTTTCTGAAATTCTCATAATTCTGACTCGATGGTTTCAAGTGTAGCTGGAGGCTCTGATATAAAGAGTGACCTCACCTCTTTCTCACTGATGTACAGCGTGTCTCCTCTCAGAACCAGGTACCGGCTCCTCCACAGCTCTCTGAAGATCCCGCGCCCGCAGAACTTCCTGATCCAGCCCGTCTTCTCCGGCTGCAGCGGCGCCGGCGGCCCCGCGTCGTGCGGGCCCTGAACACAACACCATATCATAGTTCATATTACTCACAATATAACAGGAACTGAGTTCAACAGCAAACTGGATCCAGACTAAACGATTCAAACTGGATCCAGACTAAACGATTCAAACTGGATCCAGACTAAACGATTCAAACTGGATCCAGACTAAACGATTCAAACTGGATCCAGACTAAACGATTCAAACCGGATCCAGACTGAACGATTCAAACTGGATCCAGACTAAACGATTCAAACCGGATCCAGACTAAACGATTCAAACCGGATCCAGACTAAATGATTCAAACTGGATCCAGACTAAACGATTCAAACTGGATCCAAACTAAACGATTCAAACTGGATCCAGACTAAACGATTCAAACTGGATCCAAACTAAACGATTCAAACCGGATCCAAACTAAACGATTCAAACTGGATCCAAACTAAACGATTCAAACCGGATCCAGACTAAACGATTCAAACTGGATCCAAACTAAACGATTCAAACCGGATCCAAACTAAACGATTCAAACTGGATCCAAACTAAACGATTCAAACTGGATCCAGACTAAACGATTCAAACTGGATCCAAACTAAACGATTCAAACTGGATCCAAACCGAACGATTCAAACTGGATCCAAACCGAACGATTCAAACTGGATCCAGACCGAACGATTCAAACTGGATCCAAACCAAACGATTCAAACTGGATCCAAACCAAACGATTCAAACTGGATCCAGACCGAACGATTCAAACTGGATCCAAACCAAACGATTCAAACTGGATCCAAACCGAACGATTCAAACTGGATCCAAACCGAACGATTCAAACTGGATCCAGACCGAACGATTCAAACTGGATCCAAACCAAACGATTCAAACTGGATCCAAACCAAACGATTCAAACTGGATCCAGACCGAACGATTCAAACTGGATCCAAACCAAACGATTCAAACTGGATCCAAACCAAACGATTCAAACTGGATCCAAACCAAACGATTCAAACTGGATCCAAACTAAACGATTCAAACTGGATCCAAACTAAACGATTCAAACTGGATCCAAACTAAACGATTCAAACTGGATCCAAACTAAACGATTCAAACTGGATCCAAACCGAACGATTCAAACTGGATCCAGACCGAACGATTCAAACTGGATCCAAACCAAACGATTCAAACTGGATCCAAACCAAACGATTCAAACTGGATCCAGACTAAACGATTCAAACTGGATCCAGACTAAACGATTCAAACTGGATCCAAACTAAACGATTCAAACTGGATTTAAACTAAACGATTCAAACTGGATCCAAACTAAACGATTCAAACTGGATCTAGACTAAACGATTCAAACCGGATCCAAACTAACGATTCAAACTGGATCCAGACTAAACAATTCAAACCGGATCCAAACTAACGATTCAAACTGGATCCAAACTAAACGATTCAAACTGGATCCAAACTAAACGATTCAAACTGGATCCAGACTAAACGATTCACGGAAACCAAACGATGGAGTAGCTGTATTAAAGTCCGAGTGGAAACAGTCGTGAGTAAATCTGATTTTGTCAAAAATCGGGAGAAAAGTGGGAGAAATATGACCCCGGGAGGAAACCGGGAGAGGGCAATGAAATCGGGAGTCTCCCGCGAAAATCGGGAGGGTTGGCAAGTATGCCCAGAACGCCTCGTTGGAGATTTCTCTTTTTCCATTGTTTTCTTCCTGGTCTAAGTGACGTAACGACGACCAAATGGATCAATTGGTACAAATGGACCAATCCGTGGAGCTCCTCACACACACACACATTACATGTTACTTGTTAGACGCTTTTATCCAAAGCGACTTACATACTCAATACTGTGGGCAATCCCCACAGGAGCAATTTGGGGTGAAGTGTCTCAGGGACACAATGACATGCTGACAGCAGTGGGGTTTGAACCTGTGCTCCCCTGATCCCAACACTAAGGCTCTATCCACTGCGCCACACACACGTGTCTCGCGCAGCAACCAGCAAACAAAACCAGTAATCCAGCTCACACTGTCCGCTCCTCGAGCCTCAAAGGGCGGAGCAGCGAGCCCCCCAACGTCCCCCCAACACGGCACCCAGACCCCACGTAGCATTCTCATCTGTTTGTCATTACTGGTGTCATTTCCTGGTTGCTAACAAACGCCATTGTAAAACATAATCACTGATGTTCCGCTGTAACGGTGGTGGACTCATCAGAACAGAGTGGGCGAGCTGACCAATCAGAGCACAGTGGGCTCACAGGGAGGGGGGGGGGGCAGGAGCTCCAACAAGGCGTGTAGGACAGAGAGTGAATACACACACTATACAGAGATGCTGTGAGAAACCAATGTGAGTTTGGAACATTGAACAATGTGAATCTATTCTAGTCGACCTCAACTAAGGAACTATGATCAGTGGAAATGGCCACAACACGGGACCTTTAGCTGTTAGCCCTTAGCTGTAAGATGTTAGCTGTTAGCAGTTAGCTGTAAAGTGTAGACCGTTAGCCATTAGCAGTTAGCTGTTAGCCATTAGCAGTTAGCTGTTAGCAGTTAGCTGTTAATTGTTAGCCCTTAGCTGTAAGATGTTAGCCGTTAGCAGTTAGCTGTAAAGTGTAGACCGTTAGCCATTAGCAGTTAGCTGTTAGACATTAGCTGTTAGCAGTTAGCTGTTAGCAGTTAGCTGTTAGCTGTTAGCAGTTAGCAGTTAGCCGTTAGCAGTTAGCTGTTAGCAGTTAGCTGTTAGCCGTTAGCAGTTAGCTGTTAGCAGTTAGCTGTTAGCAGTTAGCTGTTAGCAGTTAGCCGTTAGCTGTTAGCTGTTAGCCGTTAGCAGTTAGCTGTTAGCAGTTAGCTGTTAGCTGTTAGCAGTTAGCTGTTAGCAGTTAGCTGTTAGCTGTTAGCAGTTAGCTGTTAGCAGTTAGCTGTTAGCCGTTAGCTGTTAGCAGTTAGCTGTTAGCTGTTAGCAGTTAGCTGTTAGCAGTTAGCAGTTAGCCGTTAGCTGTTAGCAGTTAGCCGTTAGCTGTTAGCAGTTAGCTGTTAGCAGTTAGCTGTTAGCAGTTAGCAGTTAGCCGTTAGCTGTTAGCAGTTAGCTGTTAGCAGTTAGCCGTTAGCTGTTAGCAGTTAGCCGTTAGCTGTTAGCAGTTAGCTGTTAGCAGTTAGCAGTTAGCTGTTAGCAGTTAGCCGTTAGCTGTTAGCAGTTAGCTGTTAGCAGTTAGCCGTTAGCTGTTAGCTGTTAGCAGTTAGCTGTTAGCTGCCACTGTGCAGCACAGTTGTTTTAATAATGATTGGGCTCCTTAACAGAGTATTATTCATTCATATACTAACCCTCATACTTAAATGAAATACATGAATTATTAAATAATATATATAACATAGCATTTCACCTCTTTGTTTTTATTTCTATAATAGTTCCTTCTGTCATGATTCAGTATTTGTAGAGTTTAAACTGAGTAATTATTCAATATGAAGCTAGATATAAAGTTGTTTGTTGTTATGTAAACACAGTCAGCTGTTGTTCACTGGAATGAGACAGAATCACTCTCTGCAAACGGAGGCTTGAATGTGATGATATGTGATGATATATGATGAGAGGCCTAATGGTATATAATGGTATATAATAGTATATAATGGTATATAATGGTATATAATGGTATACTGTATAAACACGCTTAAATGATGAAATAACGAGAGTCGGAGCAGAGCACCGTGATCCCTGCATGATGAGCACTGTGTGATTATGGGAGAGCAGTGATGTTACGTATTGCGCCGAGGCTTCGGAGCGTGTGTCGAGTAATCCCTGAAGCTTTTTGTGAAGCATGTATCGTTTTGGGCCAGTGACGTCATCGATGACAAACGAAGCCTCGCTGCCTGTCGACACCACGTGACTGCTTCAGGAAGCCATTCAGATCGGTTGAACCGTTGAACCACAACGCATGGATGTATAATAAGAACCATATCACCCCTCCTGTACCCGGGCGAGAGAGAGCTCAGACCCTCACTAGAGGGTCTAGATACAAGCATAAATAAATGTAGGAATAAAAACATGAACAAATAAATGAATAAATACAGGAATACATATCTTGCAGTGTTTTCAGGGAGCTTTAGTGTGCGTGCTGTGGCTCAGCTGGAAAGCAGTTGACTCCTGACCGCAGGGTCCCTGGTTCAACGACTGAACAATACGTATTTGTTGTTGTTTATAAAAGCTACAGCTAAATGAGATAATGTAGATAACAAAAGTATTCTTTGATATGTTGTAGCCTTTCTCAGGCTACAACATGGTTACGTTTATGAATATTATTAAGGAATACAAATCCCTCTTTGCAATGTGTACCAGCCTCCTTAGGCTTTTCAATCACAATCATTCAACTGGAATAAAAACAATATTGTTAACATGAAGATATGATTTAATGTTCGTTGTTTAGAGTTATTCTAAGGCTTTACTCATTGGGAACTCGGTATGAGAGAGAGCACACTGTTGAGATGTCTGCCTGTTGTACACACTTTGACCAGCAGGGGGTTTGTGTTCAGATGAAGCCTCATGAGATGAAGCCTTTTGCGAACCAATTGGCTGGAAAGCTTCAAAGCTTCATGAGGCTTCATCTCGCCATCACTAATGGATGCTCTCACTCATTTAAAGCAGAATATATTATATATATATATTAAATATAAAGATGGATGGTGCCTACCCGTCCTCTCTGGGTGCTTTTCTTCATCCTCCCTCCGCCTCGGTCTCACCGGAGAGGAGCTGCAGCCGCTGCTCGGTGCGCGGCCCCGCTGCTCGGTGCGCGTTCCCGCTGCTCGGTGCCTGTTGTCTGCAGCCAGTGTGTGTGTGTGTGTGTGTGTGTGTGTGTGTGTGTAGGCAGATGCTCCTTCTTTCATCTAACGTGCACGCGACCTGACACGCTGAAGGACGCGCACTTTAGCCTATATTCCGGTGAAAATATAAGGAGCCCGACAGCGCCATCTGGCGACACACACACACACCCACACACACACACAGAGAGAGAGACACACACACACACACACACACACACACACACACACACACACACACACACACACACACACACACACACACACACAGGGCCGGCCCTGACCAATTTGCTGCCCTAGGCAAGATTTTAGCTCGAGCTAAAAAAGTGGTCTTTAATGTTTCAGTGCTTTAATGACTCAGGGCTTTAATGACTCAGGTCCAGGGTCGGCGTCATGGGGGGTCATTCGCGGGCCATGCCCCCCCAAATGAGTCACTGTGCCCCCCCAACACGTGGGCAAGCCTTGCCACTTTGCCGTTTTTTTTTTTTAATCATATAAGTGAAAATGTTTCCACTAACGTTGTCCACACTACAGCTTCAAAAAAAGCTTGGAGCTGGGCGTGTCTGAAGCTTGGGGATTTTATTCGAGCAACGCGACCAACAACCAATCACATGAATCTCCCGCCCCCGACATACAAAGCAAAAAAAATGTATGCGAGCAATATATATATATATAAACTCAGTTTTAAACCAGTTTCACCCACTGTCTCTGCCACCTCCCTCCATGACTGGTTCTTCCGGTTTGTATCCCGGTAGGTGAAGAGGGTATGGTCATACAAAACCGGGTGATTTGCTACGGCGATAATTAGTTTCTCCTCCATCTTTTTTTGAAATATAGAAATGAACGTCGGGATATCTCTCCCAGCTTAGACGCGGTTTGATTGGCTAGGGCTTGAGCTGTCAGATTTTCAGAAACGGGATTTGATTGGCTGGCGCTAGACGGACCGCTATGCTACTCACAATTTAGTTCGGTGAAAAGCGAGGCAACGTGACGTTACCCCATTCAAAGTGAATGGGCAGACGCGTTGGAAACCGTTTTTGAAGCTGTCGAAGCTGTAGTGTGGACGGCCCGTAAAGGTTTTTTGTGTGAAATACATCAGAAATAAAGAATACAAATATAAAACACAGCCTGAGGTGTGCTCACTGCTGCTCTCTGATTGGTGTGTTGCTTGACCAATGACCCTCGACCTTTGTTTTGTTATCATTACGTGGCTGTGTGTTCAGATGAAAGCCCAGTGGCGATCTGTTCATCTGTTACACTGATTATACAGTAAAGCCATCGAAAATAATATGATATACAGTACAGTACAAGTAGCCTACTTCTGGGTCTCTGTGTTTCATTCAAGCTCGGCTCTGTGTGTGTGTGGCACGAGCGCATTTTGTGAGTGCGCGAGCGGTAACGTGGAATGTTGTAACTAGCATCTGGTTAGCTGGCTGTGCTAACGGATATAAAGAGCTGTTTCTACACCAAGGTGGAGGAGAGTCCTCTCCTGTCAGACTGAGAGGATCTTATAACCTCAGCTCAGTGAGGTAAGGACTCTCTCAGTGTTTAGATAGTTAACTTTAGTGTAAGTTATCTCAGTGGGTCTCAAACGGTTTGGTCACCATTTATGTAAACAAGTATTTGCGAGGAACACCTTTATATGATCATTATAGTTATTAAAAAATAAGAGAATAAATGAAAAACGGGTATAAAATACTATAGGACAGTAACACAAGAATACAGTTTAAAAGGGGAGTGATTAGTAAAATATCCATAAAGAAAAAGTAAATCTGTGTACAGTTCTGTCATATGGATGCTGAGAGATAGGCTATCCATAGATCTCTTCATTTTGCTCTCAAAGTGCACCAGATTGATGCATTTAACTTCAATAGACCCTCCTAGAGGAGGTTAGGTCCACCCCCACCTAAAACATGTTCACATGAATAGGATACTAAATACATTTGCACACTTTTATATGGTGGCCTATGTCCATATGTTTCTGTTTTGGTGGTCGTGCCACAACCGTGCATGTATGCACAAGTCATAGGTGCGCTATAAAATAGCGCAACACCCTGCAATGCGTGTGAAAAACAATAGACTTTACAGCTGAAGTTGCGTTGGTGTTTGTGTGTTGGTTGTTGACGGCAGTGTGTGCCCCCCCTTGGTAAATAATTGCCCCCCCATTCGATTTGTTTTAGAGCCGACCCTGCTCAGGTCTTTAATGTTTCAGGGCTTTAATGACTCAGGTCTTTAATGACTCAGGGCTTTAATGACTCAGGGCTTTAATGAGTCAGGGCTTTAATGACTCAGGGATTTAATGTTTCAGGTCTTTAATGACTCAGGGCTTTAATGACTCAGGTCTTTAATGACTCAGGTCTTTAATGTTTCAGGGCTTTAATGACTCAGGTCTTTAATGACTCAGGGCTTTAATGACTCAGGGCTTTAATGAGTCAGGTCTTTAATGACTCAGGGCTTTAATGACTCAGGGCTTTAATGACTCAGGTCTTTAATGACTCAGGGCTTTAATGACTCAGGGCTTTAATGACTCAGGGATTTAATGTTTCAGGGCTTTAATGACTCAGGGCTTTAATGACTCAGGTCTTTAATGACTCAGGTCTTTAATGACTCAGGGCTTTAATGACTCAGGGCTTTAATGACTCAGGTCTTTAATGACTCGGGGCTTTAATGACTCAGGGCTTTAATGACTCAGGTCTTTAATGACTCAGGGCTTTAATGACTCAGGTCTTTAATGACTCAGGTCTTTAATGACTCAGGTCTTTAATGACTCAGGGCTTTAATGACTCAGGTCTTTAATGTTTCAGGTCTTTAATGACTCAGGGCTTTAATGACTCAGGGCTTTAATGACTCAGGTCTTTAATGACTCAGGTCTTTAATGACTCAGGGCTTTAATGACTCAGGGCTTTAATGACTCAGGTCTTTAATGACTCAGGTCTTTAATGACTCAGGGCTTTAATGACTCAGGTCTTTAATGTTTCAGGTCTTTAATGACTCAGGGCTTTAATGACTCAGGTCTTTAATGACTCAGGGGTTTAATGACTCAGGTCTTTAATGACTCAGGTGTTTAATGACTCAGGGCTTTAATGACTCAGGTCTTTAATGACTCAGGGCTTTAATGACTCAGGTCTTTAATGTTTCAGGTCTTTAATGACTCAGGGCTTAATGACTCAGGGCTTTAATGACTCAGGGCTTTAATGACTCAGGTCTTTAATGACTCAGGTCTTTAATGACTCAGGTCTTTAATGACTCAGGGCTTTAATGACTCAGGTCTTTAATGACTCAGGGCTTTAATGACTCAGGTCTTTAATGACTCAGGTCTTTAATGACTCAGGTCTTTAATGACTCAGGGCTTTAATGACTCAGGTCTTTAATGTTTCAGGTCTTTAATGACTCAGGGCTTTAATGACTCAGGGCTTTAATGACTCAGGTCTTTAATGACTCAGGGCTTTAATGACTCAGGTCTTTAATGACTCAGGGCTTTAATGACTCAGGTCTTTAATGACTCAGGTCTTTAATGACTCAGGGCTTTAATGACTCAGGTCTTTAATGTTTCAGGTCTTTAATGACTCAGGGCTTTAATGACTCAGGTCTTTAATGACTCAGGGGTTTAATAACTCAGGTCTTTAATGACTCAGGTGTTTAATGACTCAGGGCTTTAATGACTCAGGTCTTTAATGACTCAGGGCTTTAATGACTCAGGTCTTTAATGTTTCAGGTCTTTAATGACTCAGGGCTTTAATGACTCAGGGCTTTAATGACTCAGGTCTTTAATGACTCAGGGCTTTAATGACTCAGGGCTTTAATGACTCAGGTCTTTAATGTTTCAGGTCTTTAATGACTCAGGGCTTTAATGACTCAGGGATTTAATGTTTCAGGTCTTTAATGACTCAGGGCTTTAATGACTCAGGTCTTTAATGACTCAGGTCTTTAATGACTCAGGTCTTTAATGTTTCAGGGCTTTAATGACTCAGGGCTTTAATGACTCAGGTCTTTAATGACTCAGGGCTTTAATGACTCAGGTCTTTAATGACTCAGGTATTTAATGACTCAGGGCTTTAATGACTCAGGGCTTTAATGACTCAGGTCTTTAATGTTTCAGGTCTTTAAATGACGCAGGGCTTTAATGACTCAGGGGCTTTAATGACTCAGGTCTTTAATGACTCAGGCTTTAATGACTCAGGGCTTTAATGACTCAGGTCTTTAATGTTTCAGGTCTTTAATGACTCAGGGCTTTAATGACTCAGGTCTTTAATGACTCAGGGGTTTAATGACTCAGGTGTTTAATGACTCAGGGCTTTAATGACTCAGGTCTTTAATGACTCAGGGCTTTAATGACTCAGGGCTTTAAATGTTCAGGTTTAATGACTCAGGGCTTAATGACTCAGGTCTTTAATGACTCAGGGGTTTAATGACTCAGGTGTTTAATGACTCAGGGCTTTAATGACTCAGGTCTTTAATGACTCAGGGCTTTAATGACTCAGGGCTTTAATGTTTCAGGTTTTTAATGACTCAGGGCTTTAATGACTCAGGGCTTTAATGACTCAGGTCTTTAATGACTCAGGGCTTTAATGACTCAGGGCTTTAATGACTCAGGTCTTTAATGACTCAGGGCTTTAATGACTCAGGTCTTTAATGACTCAGGGCTTTAATGACTCAGGTCTTTAATGTTTCAGGTCTTTAATGACTCAGGTCTTTAATGACTCAGGGCTTTAATGACTCAGGGCTTTAATGACTCAGGTCTTTAATGTTTCAGGTCTTTAATGACTCAGGGCTTTAATGACTCAGGGATTTAATGTTTCAGGTCTTTAATGACTCAGGGCTTAATGACTCAGGTCTTTAATGACTCAGGGCTTTAATGACTC